TAAAGCAGCTGAAGATCGTGTGATTGGTTACCATCCCAAGTGTAAGAATATTGCTCTTACTCATTTGAGTTTTGCTGATGATCTTATGGCTTTCACAGATGGTACTCGGTGTTCTATAGAAGGAGTTCTTCGAATTTTTTAGGATTTTGCGGTTGCTTCGGGTCTCAAGATCAGCCTTGAGAAATCTACTATGTTTATCACTGGTATCTCTGAGGCTAGCAGAACTGATCTTTTATCTACGTTCCCTTTTGATTCTGGGAAACTTCCGGTTAGATACCTGGGACTTCCTCTTATTACTAAAAGGATGACAGTTGGTGACTACTTACCTCTTGTTGAAAAGATTAGATAGAGATTAAAATCCTGGACTGGAAGATTTCTTTCTCAAGCTGGAAGACTTCAATTGATTAAATCTGTTATTTCTAGCTTAACCAACTTCTGGCTTGCTGCTTTCAGCTTACCTAGCAGGTGTCTTAAAGAGATCGAAAGTCTTTGTTCTGCTTTCCTTTGGTCGGGTCCCGAGTTGAGTAGTAAGAAGGCTAAAGTAAGTTGGGATGATGTCTGTAAACCAAAGCGTGAGGGCGGGTTAGGCATTCAGCTGCTCAAGGATGTTAACCGTGTTATTATTTTGAAGCTTATCTTGAGAATTACTTCTGATCAGAAATCCCTATGGTTTAATTGGTCCAATACTTATTTGCTTCGAAAAGGTTCCTTCTGGTCTATGAAAGAAAACTCTGGTAATGGCTCTTGGATGTGGCGAAAATTATTAAAGTCTCGATCTCTTGCTAAACATTTTTCTCGGGTTGATGTTTGAAATGGGAGAAATACTTCCTTCTGGTTTGACTCTTGGACTAAATTTGGTTACTTGGGTGATCTTGTAGATGTGAGTGGATACATTTCCCTTGGTATTGGTAGGAATGAAAGTGTGCAGGAGGTTGCCATACATCATAGAAGAAGAAGACATATAGTGAACTTTCTCAATCAAATTGAGGAGGCTATTGATGACTTTAAGAGAAGTAGATCTGTTTCTGATGATGTCAAGCTTTGGAAACAGAAGGAAAATAGCTATGGTAACATATTTTCCTCGAGTCGAACCTAGAATCTTGTTCGGGTTCACCATCAGATGAGAGACTGGTACAAAGGGGTATGGTTCACGAATTCTACGCCAAAGCTCTCTTTTACTACTTGGCTGGCAATGCAAAATAGGTTGGCTACTGGTGATAGACTTCTTAAATGGAATAGCAATGCGGATGCTACTTGTATTCTGTGTAAAGAGACACAGGAAAGTAGACAGCATCTGTTCTTCGCCTACAGATTTTCTACTAAGGTCTGGAGATTTGTGGCTTCGGGACAACTGATTGGGATTCTCTTATTGACATTATATCTAGATCATCTTTGGACAGAATAAAGTTGTTTCTTGTGAGATATGCTTTCCAAACCACTATATATAATATATGGTGGGAAAGAAATCAAAGAAGGCATGATGAGAAAGCGAAGGATGCGATAGTGCTGGGGAAGCTCATTGATAAAGCTGTGCGCAATAGACTGAGTTCTTTGCAGGAGATGGGAGTTCACAAGTTGGATGGGAGTCTTAGTGCTTGGTTTGGGGCTGTTAGTCTGCGACCTCTAAATCTTTAGGAGCTTGTTGTTGTCTTGTCTCTGCGGGGCCTGTTGGAGTGCTGTTTGGTTCTTGGAGATGCTGGCTGATGGCTTTGGTTTTGGGTTTTGGGTTTGGTTTTTTAGGTGCTGTCTAATCTCCTGATTATGGGATTTTTACTCTTTTTCCTCATCAGGGTTTTGTCCTAATTGGGTTTTTCTTTGATGATGTTTTAATGAGGAAAATCCCATGATCTTGCCAAGCTTAACTTGTGTCACATGGTTAGCTTGTGGGGGATTTTTTTGGGGTTTTGTTTTAGTAGGTTTTTGTTTCTGCTTTCTCTTTCAAAAATGTTTTGCACTAGTTGTAAACTATGTTTTTTTTGGTTGAATAAATTTTACATTCATTCAAAAACAAAAAAAAGTAAATTATATAAAACAATAAGATTAAAGAATTGCATAATATATAATATAAAAAGGTAAAATATATAGTTTAAATATTTACGATAATATTAAAGTTATATATTCTAAAATGAAAAAAATACCCGCACGAACGCTTAAAAACTCGTCCACGCATTATCAGATTATATCCTCCTAATTTTTGTGTATATGTTATCACAAAGGACAAAAAAAATCAAGTTTTCCTCATGTGAGACAAAACTCTTTCTTTTTTAGCAATGTGTGACAATACTTAAGATTCAAAATAGTAGTTTTTTTTTTAAGATTGAAAATACTAGTTGATGCATAGTTGCTTAATAGTTGGTCAACACTATATTTCTTATTTTAATTCGTTTAAAGCTTAAAAATTCTACCTAAAATAAATATAATGTTATCTTTTTCATAATACAAGTTGATTTAAGAAATTCATAAAACGATAACTTTTGAAATGTAGCATTAACTAGACATCACTCACTTGTCATGGTCTCCGTATTTGTAGGAACAAGAAATTAATTTCTAACCATTGACTTTGCAATAATATACCTATAGCGTATTAGCGTGTATAATTTAAATTCAGGTGATGCCAAAAAAAAAAACAATTAATCAGGGTTTTAATCTTTAAATTCCTTATATATTAATTGAGAAACATTACAATATGTTTTTCTAACCACGTGTTATCATGAGAATGTTTCTCAAATTTACTTGAGAAAAATATTGGTTCATATAATCATATAATATATTTTTTACTAAACTAAGCATAAAACTATTATTAATGCTAATCATTATTTCCTTACATAAAATTTATAGAATTGCCTAATATGATTATAATATATATATATATATATATATATATATATATATATGACAATTAATGATTTAAATTTGAAAAATTTGATAAAAAATTGTATAGCATCTACTCTTTTTGTTAAGTTTATATTGTGAAAATAAATTAAACAATAACATTAAATATATAACCAAAAAATAGATTTTTTATATATGTTATATTTTGAATTTTTAACGACTAAAAATTTCACATATCATATTTTTGAATAATAGTTTACATTTTTTGTTATATCATGATACAAACGAGTATATAATTAATGAGTAAAAATATCATTTAATAGATATTTAAATTATATATATATATATATATATATATATATATATATATATATATATATATATTTAGTGATGTTTAAATTAAACTATAAATACCATTTAAAAGTACATAAAATATTTAATTCCAAAATTGCATTGAACAAGTATTGAGAACTTAATACTTAAATGACAAACTTTGAATTTAATTTTTTTAAACGATGATAAATTTGTAAATATTAAATCTCTCACATCAAAATGATGTTATCAATATTTTAAAATTTTACTATAAAAATACACAAATTATCATAAAACCATGTAAGTGTGAAGCTTCATTTATTAGATATAAAAATTAAAAGTATAATATATATATATATATATATATATGTTAATATCATTTATTAATTAGATTTACTTATATAAAGTGATTGTAATTAAAAAAAATATGATTATTTTATTTAAGTGCTCGCTAAATTAATTGTATGTATAATAGTTACAGATGTTTCAATTATTTCAACATATATATTTTTATTTTATAATATATAAAAGAACACAAATAAAGAATAAGACATCAAATAATGTATCTATATACAAATTAAAAGTATAATATATATATGTTAATATCATTTATTAATATTTTTTTAACACTGGATAATAATGCATTACAAACTATGAGAAATTACATAGACGATATTACAGCCGACAATTCTACCTGCCTTATGCGGATTCACGTCTGATTGCATCACTCTGAGCCGCCCTGTGAGATCCATTCCTGACAATATCATTTATTAATTAGATTTACTTATATAATATCGTGTATGTAATATTTCTCATAATTTATAATGCATAATTAACCAGTGTTAAAAAAAATTATTGAGATCCACTTTTGCACACAAGAAAAAGATAGAGATCCACTAAAACTAATTAGATATTCAGAAGGAGAATGCCAAGTATGGTTTATGGCAAATGAGCCAGAAATTGGTTTGACTACAACACCAGTAATAACATCGCAAATCTTTATGCTTAGAAAATATATGCGTTATTGATGGTTTTTGGACTTCTATATCGCTTAGTGGAAGGGTTTGAAAAGGCATATATAGACATAAGCAACTCATGGTACAAGAAATCAAAGATAGAGAATTTGCCTTGTATTCAGAGCTGGAAGCACTAAGCTAGGCAATAGATATTAGAAGGCTGCGTCTTTCGACATGTCAGCATTTTGGGACAAATTAATTGTAAGGACTTAATCGATGTGATAAAGGAACCTCAAGCATGATCGACTTTCTCAACATAGCTGAAGGGGATGTAAGATATGAAAAGAAGATTCCACGACTTCAGGCTATCATACATTCCTCGAGAACAAATGAGACTGCTGATTTTTTAGCTGGAACTACTCAGTTTTTGCATAGGACTTTTTGTTTCATTGGTTATTCTACTTTGATTTGGTTACACATGTTACCTCAAGTTTAAGTAACAGTATAGTCTTTTGATCTAATAGAAAAACTCATCATTCATCAACACATTATCATATATTCTCCTCAGATTTTGATGTGTATGGTATCACAAAGAACACAAACTTAGGTTTTCCTCACATGGGACAAAACTTAAGCTTCAATATAGTACTAGCTGGTACCACGCTACATTTACTTCCTTTTAATTCGTTAAGTTAGCGATTAAAAGCACTAAGATAGGTACTTGATACCTAGTTTCAATTATACATGAACTCTTAGAATCCCGAAAGGTCATATATCTGTTATTGATATCATATTAATTCAAAGTCAATAGATGCAAAATATCGTTTCTGGTACCTATAAATAGAGAGATCATGAGAGTCGAACTGAATCATTAATCAAGTGAATAGAAAAATAACCAATATGGAAGATCAGAAGATGAAGCTCCACTGTGGCCTTTTCTTTTCTGGGTTGCCACCAATACTTTGTCTGCATGAAAAAGATCTTGACTTTGAACTTGTCTTCGTAGATTGGGTTGCTGGTGAAACTAGAACCAAAACTTTTCTCTCTAATCTCAACGTACAACTCTCCTAACTCTTGACTATATATATCTTTGAAATTTTTCCAAACTTGTATTTATGACTACGTATATTTTGTTTGTATGACTAGCTTTTCAGCCATTTGGTCAAGTCCCGGTTCTTGAAGATGCTGATCTTAAGCTTTTTGGTATTAATCATATCTTTATGTGCTACAACTTCACTAAGAATTAACATCTCTACGTTTAAGATGATAAATAATTTGTTTTTGTAATCCGATGATAAATAAATTGTTTTTGTCATCCGATAAATAAGTATCCATTAAAACAAATAGTAATGAAACTTTAATACAAAGTTTTATATATATAATGTTTGAAAAAAGTTTTGTATGTAGTTTCAAAAAAAAAGGTTTTGTATGTATTGTGAAAAAAATGAAACCTAAAATATAAGATGAATCAATTTATATAGTATAGTGGGTCAATAGTTTTTTTTTTTTTTTTTTTTTTTTTTTTTTTTTTTTTTTTGTGGGTCAATAGTTGAATGACTCATTTTGAAAATAGAACGAATATGATTCGAATTGTTCCACTATGATTTCAGTCATGATTGACCATGCACTATATAGATGCTTTTATGTACCAAAAAAAATCATTATGAACGTGTTTTTAATTTTTTTTTATATAGAATCAATGGCGATCACGCGATACCTAGCAGAACAATACAAAGACGTTGGAACAGACCTATTACCAAATGATCCCAAAGAGAGGGCAATAGTATCGATGTGGATGGAGATATATACAAATCAGTTTCTTCCTTTAGCATCAACTCTCATCAAAGAACTCGTCATAAAACCATATCAAGGTTTAGCTACTGACTTTACACCACTTCAAGAAAACAAAGAGAAGTTATCACAAATCCTCAACATCTACGAGGCTCGTTTGGGCGAGTCTCCATACTTAGCCGGAGAAAGCTTCACTTTAGCGGATCTTCATCATCTCTCACCCATTCACTACATGTTGAAAATGGAAGAAGAAGGCGTGAAAGACTTTATATATTCACGTCCCAACGTAGCTGCATGGGTTCAGAGGATGAAGTCGAGACCCGCTTGGCCTAAAACTGTCGTCATGCAAGAGCACAGCTTTGAGTTGATGAGACAACGTCGTCTGCCTATACATTTAGATTCTTCATGTCACGAGGTAACCACTGTGGCTCAGAAAACTGCGATCGTTACTGGGAACAATTAAGTCAAGAGTGAATCATCATGGTCCATTGTATGATCCATTGTGTATGTTTTCTTTTTATCCAAGATATCATCATGTCGTTAAGTGTTTGTATCAAAATAATAATCCACCTTGTGATGTAAGTTTTTATTACTATGTGTTTGTATTAAAAATAATAACTGACCTTGTGATCTAAGTTTGTAACTATTGTTATTTTACCAAAAAACTATTGCGGATCTATACTATTAGTTGCGAAGTGATTTTTGGTAACGGAGCTCTCACGTTAAAAGTTGGAGTGGTTAATATCGTTTATACCCTTAATGAATAAAATATATAAACCAGCCAAAACTAAAAACGAATTTAATATTTGATATTTATTTGATTAGATAAATGATTTAAATTAATAATACTGATAAGAATTATCAATAATATAAATATATATTTAAAAATAAAAAGATAATTCCTATATATTGCGTTGTTATCCGGAAAATATATTTTAATAAAAAATCAAAAACATAAAACACAAAAAATAAATATTCTTAAAGTAAAATTTTAATTGTATAGAATTAAAAAGAGAAAATTGAAAAAATTATAATATATATTATTTTTAATTAAAAGAATATAATAATATAATATAATGATATATATTTGTGAAGTTATTTTTCGCCTCTGAACTCACACGTTAAATTAAATTTATTTTTATGTTTTATATAGTTAAACATTAAACATGAATTAATCATAATAAAATAAAAGATCATTAAAAAGAAAGAAAATAGTGTTTGAGAAAAATAAATTCAAATATATTGTATTATTATCCAAACTAATATTATTCTTTCTGTAAGATCAATTTTTGAATGTATATTTATCTATTCAATTTATCAAATTCAAAAATAGGTTTCTATATTTTTTATCAATTAAGAAGAAATGAAATAGACTTTAGACTTTTTTTCAAAGTTTTAAAGGAAAAAATATATTTTTTAAAAAAATTTGTGAATAACTTTATCATGTAAAAAAGTTTAATGTTTTAGGTCGGATTTTTTGGATGAAAATAATTATTTATTTTGTTGATTTTTAAATTGACTTAAAGATAATTAAGCTCGCATGTGCGGGCAAAACACCTAGTATTTAATTATTCTTACAAAAATATTCGTTTTTTCCAATAAATTCTAGATATACTAAAGGTTTTGTGTCATTAATGTTGTTTTAAAAATACATAACCACAATTTAAATTTATATTCATGTATGCTAAATATATTTAGTGGTGCATGAACATCATTTCTATTTTTCCAACGAGCAATTTTAAAAAAATTCAGCTACATCCTAATTAGTGGATTAACCCTTATAAAATCTATATTTTCTAGAGAAACAGAAACACATAAAGACTTAAACCTCTTTAATCTTCATACTATCGAACTGCATGATGCAGCTATGCATTAAAACAAAATATCATATTTTTTTAATTTATCTTGAAATTTATGAGTTAACCCCTACAAAAATATTAAATTTTCTGATAAATGTTATCTATAAGATTTAGCCTCTTTAGTGTTCTTTAAAAATAAGTAATCATACTATATATATTTATGTATGTATATATGCTAAACTTTTTTTCATGGTACATACGCATCATTTCTAATTTTTCAGTGCGTAATTTATATAAAATTCATATATCACTTAATAAGTGGGCTAAGCCCTATAAATACTTTATTTTTTAGAGAAATGAGAACACCAAAGGTCTCAACCCTCTTTATTCTCCGCATTATGTCAGTACATGATGCATAAATTCATTAAAACAAAAATATCATATTTTCTAACTTATTTTAAAATATGTGGGTTAACCCCTATAAAAAGGTAGTTTTTCGATAAATGTTATATATAAGCAACTTAAATTTTGTTTAAAAACACCTAACCACCTTCCAAATTTTATATTAATGTACTAAACTTATGTTTATGGCACATGGGCATAAGTTCTAAATTTCAAACGAAGAATTTAATAAGACTTCATATACCATCAAAATCAATGAAATAAACTCGACAAAATTTATATTTTCTAGAGAAATTTAAACAATTAAGGTATCAAAAGTCTTTGATATTCATAATATATCAGTGTTGGATACAGATATGCATAAAATACAAAAATTCCATATTGTCTAATTTATTTTAAATCTGTGGGTTAACCCTTACGAAAAATTGAGTTTTTCTGATAAATGTTATTTGTACTTAAGTTTAGCCTATTTAGTGTTGTTTAAAATATCTAACTACATTAAAATTTATAATAATGTATCCTAAATTTATTTTCATGATACATGGACATCAGTTATTTTTTTTATAAAGAGTAATTTAATAAAACTTCACATATCACGTAAAGAACTAAACACTATAAAATATCTATCTTCTAAAGAAATTAAAATAACAAAGATGTCAGACATCCTTGATCTCCATCACATATCTGTGTTGATGCATCTATGCAATAAAAAAAATCATAATTTCTACATTATTTTGAAATCTGTGGGTTAACCACTACAAAAAAAACTAGAATATCGTTTATACCTTTAATGAAAATAATATATAATTTACATACAAAATAAAAACGAATTTAAATGATTTTGATTAGATAATTAACTAAAATTAATAATAATTATAAGAATATCCAAAATCTAAATAATATCTTTGTAAATAAGATAACTCCGATATATATTGTGATGTTATCTGAAAATATATTTTGATAAAAGCGTTAACAATTAAAAAAATAGAAAATACATAAGTAAATATTAATCAAGTCAACTTCTTAATTTTATATAATTGAAAAAATATTATTTGATGTTAAATTTATTTTTAATAGTCAACATAAATTACAAAGAAATATATGTAAGAATTATTAAATGAAAGTATAAATATTATGGTTTCAAAAAATTAAACACAATTAATATTTCATTATTATAATATTTTAACTAATAAAAGATGTATTAATAAAATAATTATAAAATGTTTATGCCCGCAAATGCGGGCAAAACGCCTAGTTTGCCATATATGACCTAAAAATTAATTTTTAATGCAAATCAATCAAATGCAAAATGAACCAAAAAAACTATTGAAATTACAATCATCTCTTTATGACCAAACAAAAAAAATCAGTATTAATGTTTACCATTATAATCATGCGCGTGAGAAGACTTTCCTTCACATGCAGTAAATCTTAAAATAATTTACAAAAAAAAATATTTTGATGTGGAATAACTTAAAATCATGTAATTATAAATATGATGTAAATTTCGATGTATTAAAGTTGAATTGTTTTCAATATAGATGAGTTAAATAGATTGAGTCATGATACTCTTTAGTTTAGCGTTAGATAACATATGCTATAGTAATGTTTGTATTTTAAGATTAGATTTTGGAATCTTAACATTTTTAAAAAATATTTAAATTTAACATATAAATGTTTAGTTTTGTGTATAGTAAACACTTTGTAAGTTGATATATATTAAGTGTAATGAAGTTTTTGTTTAAGATTTAGTTAGTTATATGATTTTAGTGTTTGGAAAACTTCCCAAAAAATCTTCTAAAATATAATGCACTAGAAAACTTCCTTTAAGACTTTTAGATAAAGTCTTCCATTTCTCGCTTAATTATTAATAGAATTTAGGTTTCCCGTCTAATCATAAGTTTTCCAAGAAATATTTTAGAAAGTCTTCCAAGAAGTCTTTTAGAAAGTTTTCCAGAGAAAATCCTCTCATATATTAGAGAAAATCCTCTCATTTTGTCTTCTTATATATAGAAAATTTTGTTTTTTTGGAGACAAAAAAGTAGAGAAGAATGGAGACAAAAAAGTAGAGACAAAAAAGTAGAGACAAAAAAGTAGAGAAGAATGGTTAAGGGAAGGGGATAGAAATACCACATATTTTCATAATGTGGTGAAGGGGAAACGAATGAGAAATAAAATTTTGATGCTCAAAGATATCTTTGGTACTGAACATTACTCAGAAGGATCGAAAGGACATATTGCTACTGAATATTTCAGGGAGATGTTTACAAGCTCCAATCCAATAGATTTGGAAACATTGTTTGATGGATTTGAAAGTAAAGTTACCTCAGAGATGAACACATTGTTAATTAGGGAGGTATCCGCTGAGGAAATCAAGGATGCTGCTTTTGGTATTAAAAGTAGCAGTGCACGTGGAGAAGATGGACTTACGGGTTTTTTCTATCAGAAATATTGGCACATTATTGGTCAGAAAATTATTCAGGATGTACAAAGTTTTTTTAAAACTACCATCATTCCTGCTGGGTGGAATCATACACAGTTATCTTTGTTGCCTAAAATTTTGAACCCTACAAAGATGAAGGATATGCGTCCAATAAGTTTATGCAGTGTTCAATATAAAATCATTTCTCGTATTTTATGTGAGCGCATGAAGACGGTTTTGCCACATATAATTTCAGAAACTCAAGGGGCGTTTGTAGGGGGCAGATTAATAACGGACAATGTCATTATAGCACACGAGCTGGTACATGCGCTTCGTACAAATGAAAAAATTGGTAAAGAATGTATGGCCATCAAAACTGACATGTCAAAGGCTTATGATCGGGTGGAATGGAATTTCCTAGAAGTTTTATTAGAAAAAATGGGATTCCACAGGAAATGGGTCGTTTGGTTAATGTCATGCATTACTACTGTCACTTTCTCGGTTTTACTCAATGGACGTTCACATGGGTTTATTAAACCAGAAATAGGTATTCGGCAAGGGGATCCTTTATCTCCTTTTTTATTCATTTTATGTGCCGAAGCTTTAGTTCATGTTCTAAATAGATCGGAAGCACAAGGGAATTTACATGGTATAAAACTTGCTACGGGCAGCCCTTCTGTCCACCACTTGTTGTTTGCGGATGATAGCTTATTGCTATGTGAAGCTTCTGTGAGTGATAGTAAAGAAATTATGAAGGGTCTAAAATGTTATGGTGATGCGTCTGGGCAAATGATTAACCCTTTGAAATCTTCCATCATTTTTGGAAAAAAAATAGATAATGTTCATAAACAGATGATCAAAGAGGTCTTGGGTATAGAAAAAGAAGGTGGTGAAGGTTCATATCTTGGTCTCCCTGAATGCTTTCAAGGTTCAAAAAAAGCCCTCCTAAATTTTATCAAGGATAAATTAGAAGGCC